ATTACATTGCAAAAATTTCACTTTTGTCTCGTTCCCTGAATTGCTGCATTACTGACGTTTCATGAACCTAGCAATAATTGAATTTTTTTTTACTACACTAAGTGAATTTATACCTTGACCGATTAATTTTCTAACTGAGATAGTATTATTAAGCTTATGATAATCTAACTTCTTAAAAAAACTTCGAAAAATGCTATACAAATTGATATATTTAGGAATTTAAAATATTAAATTATTTTCTAACCTTTTAGAAAAATATATTGGTCAGAAAATAGCATCTATTTTATTTAGCTAACTATTGAACGTATTTAGTTAACTATTTAACCGATGTTTCTTACTTCGTAAAAATGGGAAAAATATTAATTTTTCTTTTTAAATTTTTGAAGCAACTAAATGAATGTATAAAAAATACGAAAACACTGATGTCATACAAATGATATAAAATCAAATTTACAATCTTCATTATTAAATAGAAATACTTGATTGATATGATCATCATATTTATATATTTTTTTTATATAATATTCGATTACTCGGGTTCTTATTTTGTTTTACAAAATCACATAATCTAAAATGTTGGATGTAATAGCTGTAAACTCAGTTACCCAAAAAAATAAATTTTCAATTACCAAATGTAAACTAAATATTTTATCAAAAACAGTGTGTTGGTGGTCATAGGGCACCACCTAGGTAAATTGCATTACAATTATTGAACTTCTTAACGGTAATGACAAATACGTAGGGTTGCATTTTTAAAAAATGAATTTGAACTGATTAAGACACGTATCGATCATTCAAATAAACCCCTGTTTAACGTTGAAATAGGTAGCAAAAATATAATAAGCTTTAAAATTTACATATTTTTTTTCTGTAACAATAACAAAGAGAGATACGCATAGTGAAATGTTAACAGAAATTACTCAGGATTTTGAGCCAAACCTGACAACGTATTACTGATATAAATGGTCTGGCATTAGAATTTTCAATGTTGTGGCGTGTTCTGAGTTGACTTGGCAACGTAAATTTTTCAAAAAGATGCTTTATTTATGGTGTACTACGGTTGCACATCGAATTTGAAAAAGAAAACCTATTATGATAAAAGTTACTTTAGTCACGAGTTTGCTTTAGTAGGAGCGGAGCGGGTGCTACAACTTTTTGTACTACTTGAATGCATTTTTGCAAAAAATACACGAATACATTCACTGCCAAAATACCATAACTATCTATGAAATCTATCGATATCATCCGATCGTTTTCAAATCCAAGTACAGGAAACAGGAAAGTGACTGGCGACCGTGGGCAACGAAGCTTGCGTCTTAAAATGAAACTTTTGTATTGTAGAACAGCGAATAGAAAAATAAAAATTGCCTCTAGATATTGCCGGATCCATTCCAGTTTAGATCAAGTTCACTGCTGTTTAATATTGTAAATATCCTCAATGTGACTCGACCAAATATTCGATATGCTTGCCAACAGCATGACCATGAAGTTTTGTGGATTACTTCAATATATTTGGTCCACACCTAATTTAAATATCCTCTTATGTGGATAAACTTAGCATACACGAACCTGTGGATTTTTACTTATTTTAAATAATCAGAGTTAACCCTTATTTCTTGATGTCACTTATTATTTGAGAATTGAACCAGGCGTGACAGTGGTACTTCTTTAGCGGTCTATAAAGAATCATAAAGAAATTGACTTGTGATTTTCACACGGTATGTTAGTCAAAAATATCCATTCAGCTCATTGCGGAGACAATTATTTTTTCTTAAATTGGGCTGAGTATAAGAATAAAAATGCAACAATGGTTTTAGGATTTGACTTGTAATTTTCATTTCGAATTGAAAGAGATGGGTGGTCCGTATGTTCAGGAATCAGCAATTCAATAACCCGATTCACATCGCAAATAATGTTTGTGAAAATCTAGATCTAAAATTCGACTAATGGAGTTCCAGACAGAAAAAATAGTAGCCACATTTACCACCAGAGCGGAATTCACAAATACATGTGGGCTTGGTTAGCGCATATTTGTTTGTTTTATCCAAAATTAGATTGTGTTTAAATTGCACTTATTGGATTTCTTACGTCGTAAACAGATCATCGGATTCCCGCCCTACGCGGTTATGTTGTGACCGCAGATAATCAGACAATATAAAAATGAAAATCTTCACGGTAAAACCGCATGTTGCATCTCTATATTTAGATTACGATATGGCGAAAATGGTGAATCATTCCTACACCGAATGTGCTCGATTTTAAAGTCTTATCAAGCGGAAAATGACCTCCGTCGATTTTGCAAATATGCCGGGTTCAAGAGATTATATAGGTAGTAAAACTCCGAAAAAGGGAGATTTATTAGATTTAAGGGAATTAACTCCTAACAATTAAAATTTTTAAAAAGAAGAATGGTAATTGACACATTTCCGAAAAAAGAATTACCAGATGACAATAGAAATAAGCAAGCATATATGCCATAAAGCTATACTTGTCATATTGACGGTAGATTTTAGTCCCGGGTGGGATTCTCACGTTTAAAAGTGTTCTAAACTCAAAGTGACCACGGTGATCCAGAATTAAATGGGCAAATGTCATTTAGGATAGACACTTTTTTTCCTAGAGATATATGTCCTAATTTCATTTTGGAGATACAGGGTGGGTGACAAGGTTCTTACAAAAAAAAAGATCTTGTTCATTACCCATTCAAAATCTTTCTGTTCTATTTTGATAAAACTTTTCAAGTTATTTCTGGGCAAAAAATAATGATAAAACTCCGTGATAAATATTTATAAGAATAAAAAGAGTTACGTAATACCTACCACCACTTCACTCGACTGAGCTTTACAAACGGTTATTTGCTTATGTAATAACCAAATCGCTTAATGAATTACCAAGTAAATTAAATATAAAAAATTCATCAAAAACTAATAAACCACGTTTTCTATATCTTTTTGAAAAACAGTGTTCGCTAGTTAATTATAGATAAAAAAGGTACAAGTTCAAATAAACAATATTGTTATTGTGCCTCCCTGTAAGATTAAAGATTATAGTGTGTATGGTCCTTCTTCCAAATTGTCACATCTGCGAACTTCATTTCTTAGGCCATAAGTTTCCAGGTTAGGTGGAAGAACAGGTCAGTGATACGTCACTGAACTGAACCTCGTCTTTGTCTAAATTGATTGGTTTTTGTTTATTATTGGCTTGTTGATTATTGGAAATAAATACCTTTATTATTATTATTATTATTATTGTTATTATTATTATTTGTTGTTCTTGTTTTTAATGGCCAATAAAGTCTAAAGTGTATTGCTATTATTATTATTATTTCGCATGACGTCTTAGCAATAAAATAAACTAGGTCTCGTGAATTTTAGTTATTATTTTTATGGACTCAATACGCAGGGAAGTGTTTTTTATTTTTTCCACACATTCAAGTGGAGATACGAAACTAACCAGAAAGGATAGAGTGCAAAAACTATCGAGAAAACCCAACAGAAACAAAGGTAATATGTCGACGCTAGTGCGGAATGTAAAGATTCGGAATTTGTGTTTTTTTTCCCCCTGTATCTCTTGTCGAGTTGAGGGTGTTTCTACAGTTCATAATGCAGAATATATCTAAGAATATACTGCAAGTGATAATTATGCAGTAACTTTCATGTGAAGCAAGCAAGTTTAGTTTTTAATCTCAGTTTCTTGAATTATAATTAGAAATTATCAATCAATTGTAATTTAGCAAACTATCAATATTGCAGAGTTGAGGGATTGGTCAAATAGAGTGGGGACGTCATTACAATTAAAGATGTTTTGAATAACTTTTTTGCCTATTAATTGTTGATTAAGAGCGATTAAATATATCAGGGACCGATTGGTGAGGTAGTGTAGCTATATATGTCATCTACCTACTGAAACAGGGACGGCAACTGAAGTCAACCCTACTGTGCAGAATTTTGGTCATCACAATCTCTGCAATGACAGGAGAGACCTTAGAGACCTTTTATTTGTTTGGAAAATTTATCATTGAAACTAAATAAAATATTGTTGTGTAAGAAGGTAAAAATGGAAATGAATTCCTTTTTTTGCGAGCAGTACTATTTGGTTTTTGGCTTAATAGCACTTATAATTTTGGATACTATGTATATATAACTTTTAACAATAATACATTTTTCCATAAGTTAAGTGATTTGCAATTTAAATACTAGTCTGATTAATTTTAATGAATTTAGCGTATGATATGAATTTTTGCAAATGGTCTTTTAATTAAAACACATTTGGTAAAATGGGTAATAGTAAACTTCGAAACATACACCGACAGGGTGGCATGACACTTTTTTTTATGAACTGCCATTTATCATGTCCAGTTAAAACTGTAGATCTCAAATGATCTTAGTTGTGTGACCCATATATGACCAGATGGCCTACGTAGGTTTTTAATCGGTTGATTGTTGGGTGGATTGCTCGAGCTATGATATTACATCAGCTATTAGAGCATTGAAATTAATCGTACATATCGAGTGACTCACTAGGTGGTTCTTGCACTGGGCAAAACGTTTTCACCGCGCATAAATTTTCGTCTTAATATTAAGTTTATCGAAAGAGAAATATATTAAGATTATAAATATTATTTTTAATTATGTACCTAGGTATTTAATTTTAATAAAACATGTGCCATCGCCTTTGCGTGACATAATGATAAAAACGGAATCTTACAGATCTTTTTATGTAGAATCCAGTGGGGCACTTATTTTTTTCTAAAAGATATAATTTTTAAGATACGCGCGAAATTTAAGTTTTTCTGTATATTTTTTTCAAAAACATACGTTTTGACTTGTTTTAGAAAATATAGTTGTCCTCTGTCTTAATTTAATTCCTGGTTCCATATTATTATTATTATTATTATTATTATTATTATTATTATTTCCGTTTCCACAGGTAAGTACTTTTGACACGGCTTTCAGCAAGTCCCCAAATAGTTTTGTGATGTTGAATCTATTTGGTTTCAGGAGTTGACATTGACAAGGCCCTCCGAGCAATGTGGCATGTTCCCAGTATGGCCGCCTTCTGAAGCTTAAGGTACAGTTTTGGTGGTAGTTGCAGCGTTTGAAGGCTGCAGTCTAGTTTCAGAGGTATTTCACCAGCTGCTCCCGCAATTATTGGCACAATAACCACTTTTCTTTGGTTCCAGAGAGTTTTTATTATTATTTCTGTTATTATTATTGTTACTGTATTACAAAAAATACGAATAAAATACAAAAATAGTCAACTTAAAGAAACTGCTCAAGCTGATTTCTACTAGCTGCCAGACATTTTTCGAATCATTTACGAATTCTTATTTTTCAGTGGCGTACTCAGATTTTTTCAATTTTAAGATACATATGAAATACCATGCTTTTTTTAAATTGATTGAGCTTTCTATTCGCTTTCTAAAATGTGTAATAGTTATAATAAAATATTTTTAAAAATAAGTATACATATTTACACTCCTTTTTATTCCCTCAAATTCTAAAATACACTTAAAAATTAATATTCCAGATAAAGTTATTTCTTTTTACATTTCTGATCATATCATACTGCAACACATATTTTTAAAACAATTACAGTCACCACGGAAAAATATTTACTATTTTTGGTATTCTGTATAAATACATATATGTAAAATGGAATAGAAATATGTTTTCTTAAATGTCATGTCACGTTATTTAAAATAATGCATTCAGACAATTACACATTTTCGAAAAGCGTATAAAAAGCGCAAGCAAATACTAAAAAATCTATACAGGGTGTTCCGTTTTAAAACACATATTCTTAGCTCTTATTCAAAGAATGATATCTTTTTCAAAAAATCTGAATACAATAACAGAACGGAGAAAAATTATCGAAAAAAAATAAGTTTTCTTTTAAATTTTACATTATAAAATTTTAAAAAGACGCTATTACACCGCTATTTATTCTTATTTATTTATTATTTTTCACATTATAAGCTTAGTTCAAAAAACTTTTATTCAATAAAATTTTGAAATTTTTCGCTATTTAGGGATCAGAAAAAGCAGTTTTGGCTAGTTTCAAGTCATATAAAATCGAATTTTAACAAAAAATAACAATAACAAATCGCACCGATTCTAAAGTTTATATTTTATATATTATTGTGTCTTTACATTCAAAAAAGTAAGTTATAACCAGATTTCTAAAAGATCCACTTTTAAAAGACGATTTAACTTATTAACGCGACCTCACGCGCTCTAATTTTCTAATGAATTATTCAAGCAACAATCTTACTCAAGCTAAAATAACGAACTTATTATGTACTCGTTGATCCCTGGGAGACAAAACAAACAGGACCTAATAGAAAAAAAGTTCAGGTAGGTAAAAAAAGCTCACAGGCCATGGAACCTTGAAGAACTCTCTATTTTTAGCCCAGCATCCACGTGTCTGCCCCGATCAGTCACATTGGGTAAAGGCCGAGATCAAGCAAAAAAGTCAATAAGTCCACTTATTAGCAAATTGAGATCTAGGCATGCTCACTAGGCCCAAGTTTGTTATGTGTTAGTAGTTAAAAGTATTCAAATAGCTTTTGTTATCTTAGATGACATTATCCATTTTCACCAGCTTACTTTAGTGATTCATGCAACGCAAAACTGGCCGATTATTAGGTTAAGAAATAAATAACAATCCTAAAGTCTCTTAGAAAGTGTGTGTTTTTTTTTCCTTTTTGGATTTAATATTCATATTTAAAAGCTAAAGAGATAATACTGTATCGATTTTTTCAAAACGAATTATTTAAATTTTTCTGCTGTTCAGATATACAAATATACAGAACTAGCATACACAAACCACAGGTAAGTGAGTATACCAGCCACAAAAATTTTGTCATAATGGCAGTGTTTTACCAGGAAAAACTAAACTAGATTGGGCAAAACCAACTTTTAGTTTTAATTTTCTGACAGGCATATCACCACTGAAAATTGGTACTCCAGATGTCACACAGATTTCGGATTCACAACAGTTTTAGACATTTCTAAATGATTTTACAATTTTGAAAAATGGTTAATTCAACTTTAAAATCCTTTGGTAAAAAGTGGGAAAGGGTATTGTCGTAGGGTAATAAACATAAATTTAATAAAATTAATGTTTTCAAAAAAGGAATTAAAATTATATTTTTGATTTTTTTTCAAAAGAATATGTTTAACACAAGTGGTATGGAATATGAGTTTATTTAAAAAAATTGAAGCTGAATATAAGAAAAGCATTGGAAATTTGTTTTTTCTTCAAATACAATTTTCAAAATATTAGGTATTAAGATGAGGTAATAAAAAATAGGTGCTTTTTTATTTGAAAAAAATATACATTTCCTATCTTTTACTTCTATTCGGTATTAATTGTATTTTTTTCGTAAACCTATATTAATAATTATAATAAAATTGAAAATCATCAATAATAAAGGGAGCGATTTTTGATTTGAAATTATAATAAAATTTGGCACACATGTACTATGTATCAAGAGGCATTATTTAGTGGACCACAATTTTTTTTAAACATACCAGTGGCGAGCGAACGAACATGTCTATTTTGGCAGACATTGATGGTAGGCCACTGATTTCTCTTAAAATAAAAAATATTCTTACAATCTCCAATCATTTCTAAATAATTTAATTTCTAGATTTTTTTCAATTTTATGAGCGGTTTTCGCTTAAAAAAATAAAAACCTCTTCTCTGCGTGCTCATTATAATATCGTTAATATGACAGCATGCAGAGAATTATTATCATCATTATTTCTGACAGAAATATTTGTCTATCAACTTTATTAAAATACGTAATAACGTAAACTCTGAGGTGTATTTTTCAAATCTTTATAATTACTTCTTATCATTGTAGTAGGCTGTGTCTGTAAGAATTATTAATTCTGTTGTCAATGAGGTTGTCTGACATCAGTGTTTAAATTCAGTTCTTCTCGTATTATTAATTTGGTATTTAAAATATAAAAAGAATGGTCGAGTTTATTAATGAGGAGTTGGTAAATATGCATTTTATGTATGGTTTGGCTGATGACAGTCGGGAGGTAGGTGATTCTATCAAGAGCACTTTCCTAATAGAGTCATACTAGATAGGCGAACATTCCCAAATGTATATAGAAGGTTGACTGGACTTTGAAGGGGCCCATCGGACTGTAAGAACTCCATAAATTGAAAAAGCAGTTTTAAATTCTATTTATGAAAATCCTGAACCTAGTACTAGAAAAATTGGAAATAATCGTCTGGATTTGGAAAATTTTGCACTATTTTCTATTGTTGCCATCATATTCAACGAGTGCAACCGTTACTTCCCAGAGATTTTCCCTTGCGTGTTAATTTTTGTCAATGTTTTTGAACAAAATTGCGCATTATCCCTTATTTCATCAAGAAATTTTTGATTCAGAAATTTCCACCATAATCATATTTGGGTCAATGAAATAGTTTTCTGAAAATGTTTGAGCTGGAATTGTTGGAAATTATTTAATTAGACCCTTTTTCCTGTCAGAAAGGCTAAATGACCTTAATTATTGCCGGTTTTTAGAAGGCAAGTAGAAAATATTGCTAGAAGAAGTACCATAGTGAATTAGGAACGGAATGTGGTTCATGCACTTTAGTGTTGCAGTAAGAGAATATTTAAATCATACATTTAATAACCAGTGGGTACGTCGCGGCGGACCTCAACCATGGCCCCTATGTCCTCAGATTTAAATAGTTTGGACTTTTTCTTATGGACGCATCTTAAAAGTTTGGTTTATTGCACCCCATTTAACACTGTAGAAGAGCTGAAGGATCGTATTACAGCTTATTGAGATTTAATAAGGAACAGGGGACGTATACTTCAAAAAGTGCGCGACAATATGAGGAAAAGAGCTTCAAGGTGGAGGCCACTTTTAAGAACTTATCTATTTTTCAAAAATGTTGTTTGTTATTAATTTATTAACAGTCAATTTTGTCAAAAATTATTAATAGTATGTAGTGTTTTTTTTTTAAATAAAAATCCTTTATTATTTTCCTTTTTGTTAGGATGTTATATTATTCCAAACTCTAACAGTAAAACGAACAGACTTCTATTTTTTTTCTGAAGGACACTATTTGGCAACTAAAAACTAGATATTGTGTTTTAGATAGACATTTTACTTTTTACAAAAAAAAGTTTTCGATTTAAACAGCGCAGTGGCGACCTAATTAACCAAAATATTATTTGTTCATAGACAGTCAGCGGCACGGCACTGATTTCCTTACAAAAAAATAATGACATGTAGAGAAGAAGTTTTTATTTTTTTTAAGCGAAAACCGTACATCGGATTGAAAAAAATCAAGAAATTAAATTTCTTTAGAAATAATTGGACATTATAAGAATAATTTTTATTTTAAGAGAAATCAGTGGCGTACCGTCAATGTCTGCCAAAATAGACAAGTAAAATTCCATGCGCCCGCCTCTGGAGTATTTAAAAAAAAAGTGGTACACTAAATATTGCTTTTTATTAAAATATCTAAAGCGGTGTTGCAGATATTAAAAAATATATATTTTATTTTTGAAAACTTTACCATCGTGTACAAGTTTTCTTTTTAAGATGGATCCAAAAATAGCCCAATTAATTAGTGACATTCAAATAGAAAAAACCTTGTATATTATGCCCCGTTCAAATCCCTGTCAAAGATAAAATATCCCTACGCTCACGTGGTTTACTCAAAATGATAGTTGACATTCACTGGTTTGATGTACTTTTTTATTAATAACACCTACTTTTTTCCATCAGTGTATCTTTCATTACGAAGGCCACCGCCAACTTTTTGGTCAAAAATTTTGATCCACTTCCAAGGCACTTTGAGGTTTTCTGAAAAGGATCACAATTAACACAAACAAGGTTTGAATCAGTTTTTGCAGATGAGGCTTTTAAAAAATTCTGATTTATCTCGTCACATTTTAATAAAAAAACCGATAATTTGTTTCAATGAAAAAGGTTATAAAAACATTGCAGAGTGCATTATGCCAGCGATTTAGGGATCACAAGCCGCAGTTTCTCATGTCATTTAAACTCTTAAAAATAGAAGTTTTAAGGCACTCCAAAGTTGGGCAAAGTGCGAGGGAAGAACCAATGGAAATTTGACCAAATTTTTACAGAATGTTGGTTCTTTCAATACATTTCAATTAAAAACTCTTCACCAATTAGACCTAATTCTTAATGAAAAAATATCCATTATTCTGCACCTTCCATGGCAACGTTTCAGAGAGAAAAACTTCTTATCACAGGGAATAGGAACATAATATCTGACTTCAGCATTAATAGGATCAAATAATTGCTGCCGTTCCATCGTCTTCTCTGGATGAATTCATGGTGGATGTCAAATTAAAATTTAGTGTTCAAGATCAATTTCCAAGGTGCAATACTAAAGTTATTCTTAGATACTTTTCTCCCCGACACCAATTATATTGATGCTTGGTATACATCGGAATATCAACTTTACTCGGAAAATCGCGTTCCGCTGGCATGGCTTGGTGTAAATCACTCAATTTCTTATTAACTTATAGATATATCGAGTAAACATCGTCTATATATAAAGTATAGAGGTCCCAAAAAATTAAGTTTCGAGAAGTACAGCCGTGTACACTTCACCGAAATGTTTGCTTGGCATTTTACGGTTTATTTTGCTACTATCAAACTTATTTTTGGATGGCAAAAGTTTATTCAACTCCTTAAAATTAATGCCGCATCATAAAAAAGTCAAGTCTTGTATTTTAGCAGTTGTTGGGCACCTTATGAAACACAAAATTCATGTGAGCATATGTGCGAAGTGCACCTTTTTTTCGTGACAGAATACAACTTCTCCGATTTTAAAAGAAAAAAGTCTAAACAGCAGTTCACAAAAAAATTAATTGTTGCAGTTTTTATTACCTATACCCAACAAAGTCTATTGATTAGCACGGGGTTTAAAATACCTACCCATACCTATGGCCGACACTGAAAATAATTTCCCATTTTATTACTTTACACTTTTCTGAAATACCTTATAGCGGCATACGTAATAGTGTATTATGCAACAAGTACGGTAAACGGCATTTGACTCATGAGTTTATTTGACACGAGCGGAGCGATTGTTTAATAAACGAGTGACTTAAAAAGTTTACCGCACGTGTTGCATACTATACTTTTTCTATGACCGTTAGTTTTTGGGTACATTTTCGCAAAACAACACAAATACATTCACTGACGACCGTTAGAATTGACAAACGTCAACATTCAAAGCGTGGGAAATATCTCCGAAAACATCCGATTGTTCCCAAACCCGTGCGGTAAAATCCCGGAATTGTCCGAAGTGGCTCGGATCCGTGGAAAACGAAACTGACGTGGTGAAGTGACGCTTCCCGCATGCTAGATCGGTGGGTAATTAGGTATTTGACACCTTTGTGAAAGCTTTCCTCTCGATTATCTCATATTATTGATATACATGGGTTCGAATTTACTTTTCTATTAAATTTTCCAAACAATATTTAAAGCAAACAAATTAAATTCAAAGCTTACACCTTTCCGAAAAAAAAATTATAAGAAAAAAAACAAAAAAAATCCAATTCCAATATCACATTTACTCCCTCTAATCAGTACCGAAGCAGGAGATTTTTGCGCTTCAAGCAAGAGCGTATATTTTTTTGTGCCGCTAGTCACTAATATCAAATTTTATTTCTCTAATAAACCTACTCTCATTCTAATATTTGTGATATTTGCAAGTATTTACCTAAATATATTTTATCACACGATCTAGTATTATTATTGAACCATGACATTCACATTGGATTTTTTTGTGTTATAAGGGGGGATGCAGACTATTCACATAAAGATGAATTTCATTCATAATTGGCAGATCATAGATTTTCAGGGGAGAGAAATAGGTAAATCGGCCAAGAGAAAACTTTCAAAATTACTTCTTGCAAGATACAGTAGAGCGAGTGCAATTGCTATAGAATAAAACAAACAAATTAAATAATTTCAAGAATTTCCATGGTCGAAAGTATGTTATGCTAATTGACTAATTAGTTGATCGGTTGACAAATGGCCAGTTAAAGTGGAGAAATTGTTCGCCTTTTGATGAAAAAAGTTCAAGCGGATAACATGGGCAGTAGGTAACATCACTTTTCTTCTGGAAATCCACTATTATTGACCCATAAATTTAACTTTTAGTTCTTATTTATTTTGATAAATGGATTTTCATCACGTAAAAGCCTCCTCAGTTCAACCAATAAATATGCATAAAACAAAAACAAATTTTGAATTATTCTTTTATATTTTAGGAAATGAATATTCAGATTAGTAAAGCAGCTAAAGTTAAAGTACACTTTATCATTTGCTTTCTGATCCAAATCAGTACGTACTTTTTCGTTCTAACGTCGAGTCTTTTTATAACTTAATTATCAATTCATGAATGAACGTTGATTAGTGCTGTTTTACAATTTTTTACGCAATAGTTTTGTTATTGATCTGACAAAAAGTTGATAAGATTTGGATTATTTAAATCTATGTTAGTTCTGCTCTGTGTTAGATATGAATTTGTGCTATGATTATAAATTTCAATAATCGATTAACCGTGTGTATATGATTAATGTTATTAATTATATTCTGCAAGTTGAGTCGAAGAGATGAAAATATTGAGACCTGATCATGCCATTTTTCAAATTCGCGCCCCTTTTCTATAATACAGGGTGATAAACGTGATAATAATTTATCACATATTCTGTTGAAATTTGGTATGTATAATTATCATGTTGGATTGTAGTTTGATGTAAAATTTGTAAATAAAAACGCCATTCTAAAAAAAAAAACGCGTGTTCTGTACCCTATTATCGCGCTAAATTGTCAATATATGCCTGTGGTCTTAAAATATATCTACAAGGTTGTTACAAGTAAGTAGGTACCGACATTATTAAAAATATTAGTTGTATACATTATACATTATTACATTATAAGGTTTTATTATAATGTAGAGGATATTTATAGGAGGTTTTATAGCGTTCTTAAAAATGATATTGGAAAACTTTAACACTTGGGGGCTGAGAGCATACATCGTAAAACCCTTATTATTCTTGAAGCAAATAATAATTATTCGATAGTTACTATAAAACATAACGAATGTTATAAAAGACCCAAATAGGTCCAGTATCTTTTTTGAGGTTATGATATTTAATAATTGCTTTCTTAAAGTTGCTACAAACTAAGAAAAATTGGCAAAATCATAAATACAGTGACGGCTTATATAGAAAACACTTTTTCTTTCAATATAAATGTACATTTACTACCCACATTACAGTTTATTTAGATCGATCTCACATGATTCTTTATTTAAATTTTGCAGATGTTTTTCAAGAGTGACGAAAACGATTCGCAAATTGATATGTTTTCAGGTTTTATAAATAATAAATAAATAAAATAATAAATAATAAATAATTCATCAAAATTGCTCGACAAAGACTTAATTTTAACACAACAACTTAGTCGGTTATATCAACATTCCAAAACTATTGCATTTTTTGGTTAATACATGTAAAGTTTTTGCAGGGATATCAGGTGCCATCAGATTTATCAAACTTCGTAAAATTACTTAAGTTGAATGTTTATGGCAAATGAAACCGATACTGACTTAAAAGTTAGCAACACTTAAAAATCTGCAACAGTGTACTAAAAGAGAATTTTTTTGGACATCATCGGTTACGGAAAGTTGTATTAAATAGCTTTGAGGAATTTTAATGCATAGCTATCATGTGGACAGGCATATAATATGTATAACGAACAATTTTGAAAAAGATGCAACTTCATTTTACGTCAAACTTAGCAGTGAATCTTTCAACATTTTGGTAGCATGTAACATTTGCTAATGTTGTTTTAATTATACAGTTTAAGTTAATACCACTGACATATGTACATATACGAGGTTTGTTACGCCCGGTGAGAATGCGGCTTGGCAACATCGCAAACCAAATGAGACAACCTGTATATACAATGGAAACCCTCTTACTGCAGACTGCCGTGTGTGCCAAAACGGCATAAATAGCATACCTATTCCATTGATCGCCTAACGATGTGATCTATTTATTTTAAGATTTAGGCACTAAGCGCGAAGAACACGGCGGTTACATAAAATTTACAACAAATTATTTAACGTCCCAAGGAACAAAATGATGAGGAGTTAGTAAAAAGCCGACTTCCCCAATTTGCGAAATACATAAAGTTGGGCGTTATTCAAATCGAAATCCGTAATTTACTTGTGTTCAAATCAATTGGATTTTGTTTTCATTAAAAAAAATATTACCCAGCCTCTGAACAACTTGAAACAAAATTTCCCCGCTGTATTGGGAGATGTTTCTGCCGGCATCAGCAGCAGAACAGGCGCTTTCGCGTTCGGCGATTTACAAAACTTCACATACCTAACATGTATTTACTTAAGCTGTGTGTTTTCCCTACCTTATCAGACTGCGATAACACCGGCAGATGAGATAGCACTAATTGTTTGTGTCTACGAGAAGGCACGTACACATTAAAACATATTCTACCCTATCATCCCGTCTGCGGCACTACCAGACATAACTGGGAGACATCGTCCGCCAATAACATGCCCCTCCTAAATCGTTTGAACGGTAAAACAGCTGGGTTTTAAGTGTTCAAGAAATGTAAACATGTATGAAGCATGCTGTGACATCTGTCCGAGATGAACGTATTTATTTAATAGAAGAAAATATTATCCCCATTGAATCTCACGTCTCCTGCACGAGAACGAGTCTTTATCACTATTCTCCGAAAGATGGCGCAGAGGGTATCAGTGTGTTACTTGGGTGTCCAGATGAGAAAAAACTAATGTAATAATTATGACTGTCAATTTGTTTTGTCAATAATGGCAAATAAAACTTATTAGCTTATTAAAATTTTGAAAAATGGTTTGTCTATCAAAATATAAGCGAAATTAAAGTTTTTAAAACACGCGTTAATTTTGGCAGCTCGAGTGCTCAAAATAGAGCAAGGTTTTAAGAGACAAAAAAAATCCTCCGAATACTACGCTATTTTTTATTACTTTATTTATTTACTTTAATATGGATAGGAAATTGAAATGAAAATTCGTTGTGTGGGATAAGTAGGTATGCAGCGTGAACAAGCACAGGTCGAGGACAGTTAAATATACTGCGGGATTCATTTATGTTTCGTGGCTGAAGTAAGCTTCGGATTGCGATTGAAACCACCACCCTTATGTTCTGAATGGATTTTAATATTAATAAAATTGAACAGATTACATCCCATGCCCAGGCGTATTGAATATCATTGAAATCGTACAAAATGTTCGTATTTTGGTATATTGACGCAGTATTTTAACGCCGCTACAGAGTGCTGGGGATTCCTTGAGAAATATGTGTACCAAATTTCGTTAATTTTTCTTCAAAAATAGGGTTAATGCAGCATTTTTTAAATATTGACCAGTATTTGTTTGGACCGCTGTAATTTGTAGCAGATTTCAATCCCAATCCCAAGCTAACTTCAGTCACGTATTTATGTTAAGAATACAGTTTGTTTTATCGAAAATTTTTAAATACAGAGTTGTTTGTATGAAAGTTTTGCAAACATTGAGACTAGTTACCATTATACACGGTATGATACTGTATGCATGCCGGTCATAAGCAGCAATTGGCACGTGCTTATTTTAAACGCAATATCCGACGTGTTTATAATTTTGAGAGATCATTGCGGCTTCTTAACCATTTTGACTTATGGTAGAGAGCAACATAAGAACCATTCCTTCCAAATTAGCATTGAGAATTAGTTTATCGTTTATAGGGTATTCGATATTTAAAAATCATTTTCAACTTTGGAAAACTTCCTATTTGAGAATATTACGTTCTGTATATTGTTATAATATGATGCATTACCTTTAGTTATACTAGTTTTTAAGAATTTTATTATTAATTCGTATTTTCTATCAAAAGTCAATCAAGGTTGTCATATTTTTGATTTTATTTGGAACCGGCCATTTAGGTCGCCCTTGTATTTTCCGCTCTGTTGGCTTAACAAAGGAACTTTAGAACTGTGCAATTTCTTTACCTTGATGTAAATAAAATTGTAATCTACAGGTTGAGTCGAAAAAAACAAGGATTTGAACATGTTAAGGGCTGGGCTTAGCCCATTCGGATCGGATGGAATGAAAAATTGAAATTAAAGGAACACAATTAATTAAACAAAATTAAATATTTTGAACTGAAAAATGCTGTAGGTACGATATCTAAACTTGTGCACAAAAAAGAAAAATTGAAATGAAATGCAAATCTAATGGGAAAGACATAAAAATAGAAGGTGATAAGCGTATTTTAGCAAATAATTTTAACGATTTTTTAATAAACGCAAGACCTGATCTAATAGCGAAACTACATAAAAAATTTTTTTGCTCGAATATAGAATTTAATGAGGTAAAAATTTGTCTGGACACTGTGGACAATGAGGAACTAGTTGAAATATTTAAAAAAATTAAACATAGTAGTGGGTTTGATGAAGTGTCCAATATTAATTAATTCGTTAAGGTATGGGCTCTTTCCAGAACAATAAAAGCTTGGTGTAGTCATACCAGTTCTAAAAAAGGGGATGCAAGTAAATTAGAAAACTACCGGAATATCAGTTTACTTCCAACCTTCTCGAAAATAGTTGAACGTGTTATGTGTAGGCGTATTTTCGAATTTATGAATGAAAATAATTTTTCAATGAATGTCAGCATTGGTATCTACAGGGAAAATCCACAATGGCTGCTCTGTTTAACTTTGTAAGGGGAAACCTTTACTTAAGCCTCTTTTTTGACCTGACAAAAGCATATGATACCCTAGACTATGATATTTTATTCAAGAAACTGAATCAATATGGTATCCGAGAGGTGACGCTAAAGTGGATCAAATCACATCTAACAGGTAGAATGCAACAAGCAGCCATGTATGTACTGACATAGATAGAATTGTATCTAGCCCTGCTCCTGTCTCATTGGGAATTCCACAGGGAACTCTCATTGGTCCAATTTTATTTATACTTTACATAAATAGCATAACAGAATTACTTACAGTAGTAGAAAATTGTAAAATAACGAACTATGCTGACGAGAAAAGTTTGCTATTCGTGAATAATGATATAAATATCTTAAAGAACGCAGCCACTAGCTTTATAACGACAGTTGAACATTGGTTTAATAAAAATAAATTGGTTGTTAATAATAACAAAACAAATGTAGTACTATTCAAGACGAACAAGAGCAAAATAGCTGAACCAAAAACGATAAACACCAATGGCTGTGAAATAGACCAACAGAGCAATAAGATCAAATTCTTGGCGATATTTTTGGACAATATGTTAACTTGGAAATTCCACGTTAGTTGTTATATTAAACAAGGTTATGTTATACGTTTTGGGTTCTAAAAACTACATAGGTATAGATACTAAAACGATGTTATATCATGCTAATTTTGAAAGTCCTATTAGATATGGAATACTACTGTATGGGAGTTGCACAGACATTGAAAAAGTGTTTACAGTACAAAAGCGTGCAATCAGAACACTTCTAGGTCTAGAAAGTAGACAGTCGTGGAGAGGAAAATTCAAACAACTTAATGTCTTAACAGAAACTGCAGGGTCCATACAGGAGTGCGCCATGTACTTTTTAAAGAATAGATCCTTTTTTACTCCTAATGAATCACAAACTGTTTTTAGTTTTCCTCACAATCAACTCACAGGGACTGAAAAGGGTCCTTATTATTAGGGCATAAAAATATTCAACAAACTCCCGGAATGGATACAAAAAAATAGACCTGTTGAAATCTTAAAGAAAGAAATTTTTAATATTCTAGTCAGAATGGAACCATATGCTATGGAAGAGTTTTACACCAAGATCAGGAAATTTTAGATATTGTTATTTCTATTTAATGTATTTAATTATTTCGATTTTATTTAAAGTATAAATAAAATTGAACCAATGAGAGTTCCCTGTGGAATTCCCAATGAGACAGGAGCAGGGCTAGATACAATTCTATCTAAGCCAGTACATACATGGCTACTTGTTGCATTCTACGCATGATTTGATCCACTTTAGCTCTCGGATACTATATTGATTCAGTTTAAATAAAGATATATTATTATTATCATTATCTTTATTATTATTATTATTATTATTATTATTGTTATTATTATTATTACTGTTGTTATTATTATTATTATTATTATTATTATTATTATTATTATTATTATTATTATTATTATTATTATTATTATTATTATTATTATTATTATTGTTATTATTATCCCAAGCACTATAAACTATATTAACTTAAAAAACATTCTGACTACACTTAAACATCGAATGGAACTTTTTAAATGATCTTTTGCGTACTGTGTTGTCTCGTATTTAAATAAGTTTGACTAAAGTAAGTTGAAGGCGCCTTTGTTCCATAATGATAATAAGAATAATACTTTTTTTCTCCAAAGACAGCTACAAGATAGTAATAATAATAATTATTATTATTATGAAACCAATGTGCCTTCAACTTACTTTTACTTAAACTTATTTATCAATAGCAACGGTTTAGTATTCCGTTGGTCTTAGACATTGCTTTGATATCACTCGAAATGTTTATGAAATACAAATATTCAATCTTTAATTCAATACCGTATTAATGCTCACATTTTAACTACACTTTGTCTCATTGACAGCCTGGTTAATTTCCACCCCTCTCTTCTGCATATTTATATGCGTTTATATGTATTTCAATATCTCGAAAATGGGAACTCGGGGAGAAATATTTAAAGGGTATACATTTTTTGCGTAAAAAAGGTTTAAGAAGTGATATCTTTATTAAAAATCTAGTTCATGCGCAAAAAACTTAGGAAGTATCAAATCTACGCGAAACACCCTCTCGAATTTTCCCTAAAATTATTCACGAAAATGGATTTCCCATGCAAAAAAAATTCGGATTTGCCAAATTTTGGTGCAAAAAGCTCGATTATTTCAGGAATTGTTTAAAAAAGTCAATAATGAAATTGCAACTCTTATCACCCAGTATTTCGGTTAATATCAACTTTGGACTAAGGTAAGTTTCGTTAAATCGTAATATTTTTACCAAAAGGATCTATTATTTTGCCACGTAGCATTACTTGTCGGACACCCTATATTGATCAGTTCTGGTAGCGGCTAAAGTGAACGTTGTTCTATAGATGCACTAACAGCATGCTTATGCATATCCATGTATTTTCAATGGGTTTCTTGTTATTTCGTATTTTCTATCATAAGTCCATCAAACCCAATTCTAGTTAAAATTAATTTATACCAAGTTTCACATATTTTTGGTTTAATTTACGTCAAAGTACTTGAATAACTTTGGAACTTGTCATTCAGACCACCTGATTAGTAGCACTAGGATATTCCACTCCCTGACTATATGAAAGTGTGGTGCAGACCTGTACAAATTAAGAGGAATTGCTGTATTGTGTTGACGATGCTTTTTCTAATTAAAATCCAGACATACATGAAAGGTCCAGTACGCCAAAAATACTAGAGCTTATTCAGTGTCCATTACATCTATTTTACAATACTAG